CGAAAAGGGGGGGAAGAAGGACAAACGGCCGGGGGGGGGCGCAGCAGAAGCAGCGGTGAGAGAAAAGCACGATGGGTAAAATGGGGGATGCGCGAGGGGGAGAGACGCGAGGGGGTGTCGGCAGCGCCCCCTTTGGGGGAACCTTGAAAACGCAGGCAAAGAGATGCCCCGGAGGAAGAAGTTGTGAAAGGTGCGGGAGACCCTTTTCACGCGTGTGCGTTTCTGTCGACGCGATTTGTGGCTTGAATCGGCCCGCGTCTTCGCCCAGACAAGTAGCACCGCCCCGCATCTGCCACAGTCGGCGTGCAACCTGGGCATGGTTGCTCGAGCATAAGACTCATGGAGCTGAGCGAGGGGGACGGGAACCGAGTTGGAAGGGGTCTGGACGGGGAATCAGGCGGACTGGCCGCGGCGATGAGGATTGTTCCTTCGGTTGGGCTTGCTGCGGTAGAGCAGACGCCCGCAGGAAGAGTGGCTGTGGGTCAGGGGTCTTGGGTGGGTGCAGCTGCTTCCAGGGAGGAGTTACGAGCCAAGACATCGAAGCCTTGGAGGGACCCATTTCTGCTGCGCTCCAGATGCCTTGACCATCAGTGACCCTAATTCCTGACTAGCGTCCCCAAATCCCACCTATCTGAAGGACCCCAGAGTTGGGGGAGAGGTAACGTTGGCCCTGGAGTTGCGTTTGACTTTCATGGACAGCTTTCTTGGCAGGCTCAAAGTGTAAGTGGCTGTTTTCTCCTGCCTCTTTTGCTGACTTCGCAGTCTAGCCTACAGCCTTGGATTTCCCCAGTGGCTCCACATCCATGTGTAAACCAGGAAGAAACTGGCTTGCCCGCTTAGCTTTCTGTATCTGCCAGAGTTGGCTGATGATCAGGTATGCACAATATGCTAAGCCATAATATAGGGCTTGTTTTGCTTAGGTTTGCCACGTTATGGGAACCCACCTTGATTGGTAAAATATTGTTTTATTGGGTTGATATGTATCCCACTTCTGTTTCCCCCACAACAAACCTGTGAGGTAGACTGGGTTGAGAGTGGTAGTCCTCAAAGTCACCCAGTGTGCTTCTGTGATTCCCTGATCCTACACACCTTCACCACTAACCACACCCTGGCTCTTATCACGTTGTGCAAATCTATCTAATGTGCTTTAGGCCCAGAGTAATGTGTGATCCTTTTGAATAACTGAGTGTATCAGGCTGGCATGTGAAAACCTGATCCTGTTGAGTCAAATACACTTATTAAACCATGTTAGTTTACCTGTCGTACTGTGCTACGAACACTGTTGAAAAGTTACACTTGAATATTCTAAATTGTTTTGAGTTGTTACAGGTGGATCATTTTTAGTAAACAAAACTTGGAAAAAGGACACACTTGCTTTAGTGACCTTTCCTTTGAACTGAAATGTGCTGTTGAGTTTACAGCTCAGGGCAGATACTTTTATTAAATGCGTTAACTAAGAAGAAATTATGGACTGGCTTTGGATAAACGAAAAGTCTTAGGTTCTCAAGGATGGTGCACAAATTTCTATGTCATTTTTCATCTTCATAAGAACTGCAACCAGATTCATACACTGAGCTTAACTGTAAGCATATGCTTTGTGAAATAACCCACAGTTGGCTGGGTTCATGCATTATACCGGTGTTTCTCAACCTTGGGAACTTTAAGATTTGTGGTCATCAAT